GAGGCCTGACTCAGTTGGGGGGTGGCCCATACTCCTCACCAATCAGCTGTAGATCAGAGGCCCTTTGGATTTAATTTGCTCGAGCAGCTTACAGAATGCAGGAAAACAGCCCACCGGCTCACTGGAAAAGGATACGCGCAAGGAGCGGATGTCCAGATGGCAGGGATGAGTGGGCGGCGAGGTCTGCGGAAGGTGGCCAAGCCACTCTCCATGCCTGCACCCCCATGTGGTCCCCACCCCGAAGCTGCCCACCCCCTACGCCTTGGGGAATTTTATGGAAGGCTTCAGCATGGAAGCGCCACCTGTCACTCACTTAACTCCCTTCTTGGAGGATGGGACAGGCTAACAGGGCCACGCTGCTGATCGTGACTTGGTCTTTGTGGTGACCTGCCCAGGGGTGTCACCTCTGCAGAGCAGCGGATGCTCGTGCCAACCAGAGAGCCCCAAGGCTGTTTATTCACAGCTGTGCTCACTGGTGGGGGCTGTGCTGTCCTCAGCCTCTGTGCCCTGGGTCCCATCACGCCTGCTGTGAGTTAAGGAATAATTTGTGAAATGTGCTTAGAGCAAAGCCTGGCATGAGTGAGTTTTCGAGAGCTGCACACAAGTGCCGGGGCTGGGATGGGACGCAGTGACATGCTAGCCCCTGTCTGACTCCCCCTGGCTCTGCTTGCAGCCTGTCCGGGCTGTTCAGAGAGTGGGATTTTCTTCAGCCACCTGGCACGCCCGTGATAGAACACTTTGCATTTTGCCTTCAGAGGGTGAGCATCCCTGGCATGGGATGGCAGCCAGCTGTCCCAGGCCCCAGTGAGCCCTGGGGCTGGTTTGCTGCTGCTTCCACCTCTAGCCAGTGCCTGGGCCTGTCAGAGAAGGTTGGGAGCAAGTGTCTGCATCCTTGATGCCTTTCTTCCCTCTCCAGCCACATGTTCTCTCCCTTGGGACCATATTCCAAAGGGCGGCCTAATTGCTATAGCAGCAAGACCCAAGTTTGGCTTGACACACCCAGGAGCTGTCAGTTCCAAAGCAGAATTCTGGCCTGTGGCGGTGCCTGCCCCTGGGCCCACAGGGTCTTCTGCTGGCTCCTGTGCCTCCAGCCTGCAGATGAGTCTGGGAGAGAGACGGGCCTTCCGCCCCAAGGTGCAGTCAGGGCTCCAGGCTCTGGGCTGCAGGACATGCTCTTGCTGCAGAGGTGCCTTAGGCTGTGGGCATGACAGGTGTTCGGAGAGTGCCTGATGCAGGTGTGCTGCATTGTTCTTTAAAGTATGGGTTGTGGGTTGCTCCCTGACCGGGGATCAAACTCGTGGTACAGTGGCTGTGGATAGCTTCATAGGTTGTGTCTTAACCCCTTGCACTCTCACTCTGTTTCTGGTGAATTCTCTTGCCCCCCCCATCTCTGGCCTGTACCCCAGTTCTTGTATGCATAAATAAATAAATCTTAAAAAAAAAAAGTATCAGTTGTATTTATCAAATATTCCCCAAGCTCTCTCCTCTAGCCCCTGCTCCAGGTCCTGGGGCACCAGCCCTCAGCTCTCATTGTTGGGGATCTCAGGGTTGGGCAGAAATATGGCACCATCCCAGAGGATGCAGAAGGGTTTGGAGGCACAGGTGAGAGGAGGGAGCCACTCATTCTCCTGGTTTGCGGTCAGTGAGTTAAGTCTGTAAAGGGATTGGACTTTTGAACTGGACTTGGAACAGGAGTAAGAGGTCACTGTGTGGACAGATGTGAGGGGCCTGGTAGGTGGTTTCGCCATCACCTGGGTCTGCTTCCGGAGCGGGTCAAGAGGGTCACGCGACTGACTGGGGCCCTGTGAGGAGAGGACCAGGGCGACGTGCCCCCCTACGTGGCGCTGTTGGGCAGGCTGAGGGGAGGCTGTCCCGGTGCTGCTCCTGCCAGCGTCCCACGTGTCGCGTCTGTAAGCCAGTGTTCCCACCTACCAAGGTGCCCTGTGCAGTGTAGGGGAGATTCAGTGGTGCCCTCATTTTAGGAGGAGGGAAACTGAGGCAAGGAGCAGTTATGTCACCCGCTCCAGCCCCGAAAGTGGCTGAGCTGGGTTTCCAGGTATCTCCTGTGCCCATCCCCCTCCTGGCCAGGTGGTGGGCCTGGTAGAGCCTGGCTGCTGGGGTACCTGGCTGGCACTGCCAACTTGCTTCCTGAAGTCAGAGGTGACTTCCAGGCCATTGGGGTTTACAAGCCTGCGTCCCGTGGCCTCCCAGCCCTCCCTGCCCCCTCCTGTCGGCCCCCCGCCTGCTGGCTGCGGGAACAGTGGGCCCTTGTTTGCTCCGAGCGCCGAGTGCTGCTCGAGCGGCGTCCGCGCGGCCCCACAGGATGGCGTGACTTGGAAGCCTGGCGCCCGCAGACCTCTAGCCACAGCGGGCGGTCCTTTCATCTGAGACTCCCTTGTTATTGGCTGAGAGGGATCGGTCAGACCCCTTCCATGTTAGAGAACCACAAGTTCCTGGGAAAGTTCCCTTTTCTGGGGGCTGGGTGGGGTCAGAAAAACAAAATGACAAAACAGAAATGTGCTCACTCCCACCTGAGCACCCCTCCCCACCCCATGTGGGAGATGAGGTCCCCAGCCCCCTTCCCTAAAGCACCCCCATCCTAGCTTGCCTCCTCTGCAGCATCGCGCTCCTAAGGGTCCCCTCTGAGCGTCACTCCTGGGGGTGTCGTGCCCATGTTCCCACACTGCACCTGGACCTGCCCGAGCACCTCCTGCAGGGTGGGGGGGAGCTTCCCCTTGCTGGCAGGGAGCTTTTCAGGGGGTAAGCCCCTCGGGGGGATGCAGCCGGAGTGCCTTCTGGAGCTGGGCAGCTCCACCTAGGCCTCGATGCGGCAGGGACACTGCAGCGAGACACGCCAGCCCGGATCAGGCCTGATGTGTGTCCCAAGTTGTTCTCGTGAAAGGGTATTACTGGCAAAAAATACTTGGAAAATGCACAAAGGAAGGTGGCCGGCGTCCAGAGCTCACTGTTTACCTTCAGCGGAGCGGCTGGGAACACGGGGAGCTTATTTTCCAAACAGCCCCTGGTGGTGAGGCCCGTGGACCTCAGGCTGATGCCGGGGTGGGGGGTGGGGGGCGGGATGAGCTGGGGCAGCTCCTCTGCTCACCCACTTCCCCTCCTGGGACCCCAGGGCTCCTCTCAGGCTGATTTCTGTCCCCTCTGCTGCACAGGAGACCCGGAAGGTTCTCCAGAGATTGTGCCAGCTGGGATGGAGTTTCCGACAGGCCCTGGGGCGCCCTGCCCAGCATCGCCGTGTGACCCAGTTCTCTCCCGCTTGCCTGGGTCTGAGAATGTTGGCCTCTTGTTTGTGGGGCCTGTCACGGTGGAGCCACCAGCACAGCAGACATGGTTTTGGGTCTGTGGCACCTTCTGAGCATTTGCTGCCCCTATCCCCACCGACTGGTTTCTTTATCTTCCTTCAAATTGCTTTTTTTCTGGAAACTCTTTCCCCATTCTCAGATAGGAAGGTTGCACAGAATCTGCAAATAGAACCAGCGAGGCCCTTGCCGTCTTTTGTTTGTATCAAAGGGGAAACTGAGGCTCGGTGAAGGTGAGCTGGGTTGTGCCCAGGTGCCTGGTTGCTGTTTGGCCTCCATCCAGGCCCCACTGGGTCACTTCCAGTCTTGCCCGGTCATTTTGCTTCCTGGACTCTGGTGTCCTGGTCTGCAGAGGTGGGGCCGTCGCCCCTGCTCCTGGGCGTGCCGTGAGGACGCCCCTCCATCCCTCATCCGGGAACCCCAGAGAGATGGTCAGCATCTCAGCAGCGGGTCTGAGTTTTGTTTTATTTTGTTTTGTGCATGGGCTGGTCAGCAGGAGGAGGGAAGAGTCGTCTCCAGTCTTCTTATTGTGAAGTCCATGGGCTTTGTTTTTGTTTTTGTTTTCCCAATAGGGGAAATCCCTCCACATCTTTCCTGGCAGACATTTAAAAAGAGGAGTTAAAGATAATAGCGAGAAAGAGCTGGCACATTTTAGCCGTGAGCTCCCAGGCAGGTTTCAGAAGTCTTTGTTCTCCAGGGTTTTCATTTGTGAAATCACATGGTTGGAAGTAAGATGAAACCAAGGCATGGAAGTTTTGAGCAGGACGTCTACCTAGAGCGACCATTTGGAGCTGCTTCTGGGCTGTGAGGCCAAAAGGCACCTTGAGCCCCAAGGGAGAGCCCCCCCTAGGGTTGGGCATGAGGGCAAATGTGTTCCTTCCTTCTCTGGCATCTGCCGAAGCCACCCGGGGGTCAGCCAGGTATTGGGATGGCGCTGCTGCCTCTGAGGGCCTGGCCTTGCAGGTGGTGGTGGCTGCGTGCCGGGTGGCAGGCATCGGGCGGGTCAGGAAGTGTGTCAGGCCGCCTGGCTGCTGGCAGGTGCTCCTGACTTGGGGTCAGATGGTACCGACTGTGCATCAGCCAGCGGCGCCGACTCCCTCGCGACCGCCATCTTCCTGAGCCCGTCCTCTTGAAAATGAACATGCCCGGATGGGGGGGCAGCTGTGCCTCCCGGTGACATGACCAACCCCAGAGGCAGCTGCTGGGCTCAGAGACCGGCCGCTCTCAGGCGCCGGGGCATTGCAGCTCGGCCAGGACTTGGTGTTGGGTCGCGGAAGGATGGCCGCTGGCTCTTTGTTCTGGCCTGGCTGTGCTACTTCAGTCTTTTGACCTCAGCTCCCCCAGGCCTGTTTCCCCAACCTGAAAAACCTGGTTTGTCGGGAGGGAGGGAGTTGTTCAGTAAAGGCCTCTTCTGGGCAGCGTTTCACAGGGATCTGCTCCCTGGGCCCGTGGCTCCCATCACCTTGACTCCATGGGGTGTCTTCTGTCTCCTGGGAGGTGTGGACTCGGGGCAGAGGCACAGATGGGGCCTGCCCTGGGGGAGCCCTGGGGTCTCAGCTCTTCCCAGCTGTGTCCCCTACGAAGGTGAGGTCCCATCCTGCCCCATGCAGGGCATGGGCACCGGGTGGGGCAGTGGGTTCAGCACCTGAACTTGTTCTTTTTCTCTGTGCCCCAACAATGCAGCTGAACCTCAGCCGGCCGATCGAGGAACAGGGTCCCCTGGACGTCATCATCCACAAGCTGACCGATGTCATCCTCGAAGCGGACCAGAATGACAGCCAGTCCCTGGAGCTGGTGCACAGGTTCCAGGTGAGTGACGGGGCGGCTGTGTGTGTCTGAAGCTGCGGCAGCTGCCTTGCTGCGTGCCCCGCGGAAGTGGCTCTGCCATTGACAAGGCATGGCTGGTGCATCCCTGCCAGAGCTCATCCCCTGGGTAAACTGCGATTGATCTGTGGTGGGCACCCCCTCTGCCTGCATAGACGTGATTCACTGCCAGCCCAGGGGCCCCCTCGTTGGCAGTCACTCGCAGCCACGGCCAGAGGCAGAGAACATGACATAAGGGTGGACCCTTCTCACCACCCTTGAAGAAAGGGCCCCCAAAGTCCTTGGAACTGGAACCGCTGGCCTGTCCCTGAGTCCTGCCGTGGTGGAGAACCTTCCTTGTGCTCACGACCTTGACCCTCATGTGCTCATCTCCGGGCCCAGCTTGAGATGCCCCTTTGGGTCTCATCTGTCCCCTCGTCCCTGCCCTGCTTCCCCTGCAGCCCCCTGCTTCAACCTCACGGCGACCTGTCCACCAGCTTGGGAGGCCACTGACGTGGCCTGTGTTGTCTCTGTTGTGGACGAGAGCACGATTCGTTCCTCTGAAGGTGGCTCAGGGCGTGGAACGTCGAGTCATATTATGGGCGGAAATGTGGCCGCTTTGGAGCCTCCTGGTGGGAGGCACTTGAGCCGGCCTCCACCGTGGGATGGTGATGTTTGGGGGGTCAGCATCCCGTCCCCCCTTTTCAGAGCACAGGGGCTCTCTTTCCCCCTGCCAGCCAGTAGCCCCCTGCTCACGGCGTTCTCTCCCCCGTGTGTCAGGGTCACTCCCTCAGCCTCCCTCCCACGCCGCCGCCTCAGTTTCCCATCTCCTGTGGGCATGCACGGTCCCCTGCTTGCTGCAGTGTCTGCTCTCGGGGGACGGGAGGCTACAGCAAGGCGCGTCCAGGCTCTTCCAGGATCTGGTCCGTGAGCCTCAGTTTCCTTCTTGTGAGTGAGTCCAGGAAATCTCAACAGAGTGGGGAGGTGGAGGGACACGGGGTGGTGGGGGTGCACTGTGTGACTCCCTGAGCCCTGATGTCCTCTTCTGTGACACGGGGGTACTCATAGCTTCTGCCCCCTCAGGCGGGCAGGTTGCGGGAGGGGTCCATATGTAGGAGCTGGTGCCCTGGGCTTGCTGAGCTCTCAGAGCTCCCGCCACTAGGACTCCTGGGATGGCCACCACTGTCCACCTAGCAGAGACCACAGCCCTGGCCAGCCCAGGGGCCTGGGAATTACAGACCCCTGTCCCCCAAAACACACAACCCCGGGCAGGATATGGCTGAGCAGCAAAGGAGAACCTCATCCCCGGTGTTCCTGTTCCTGATAGAGATGATGGTGACAGAGAGAGCACGTCCGGGGACCTGTAGCTCGCGGGTTTCAGCCACAAGGTGCCTTTCCCAGGAAGGGTCTTGGCTGGGACCCTGCGTTCTGTCCCCCCAGAGCTCACACACCCAGTGGCCCTCATGACCAAGGTGACCTCTGGATGACCTTCCAGCCCTGGTGTTCCTGGGATAGTTTTTCGTTGCAGTCTGTGCTCTAGCGGGAGGCCGGATATCTGATAAGGGCAGGACGTTTCCTCCTTTGTGAAGAGAACAATCCTTTGGGGAAAAGGGTGACAGACTTTGCTTTGCAGAGGCCCCAGGAAGAGAGGAGACAGGCCGGGTGGTGGGGAAGGACCAGGAGACCCGCGCAGCAGCACCCAGGCCGCCTCCAGCCGGCGGGCACGGGACTGGCAGGCACGGGGCTGCCGGCCCCGACCTGGTCTCTCCCCGCTCACCTGCGAGACTCAAGTTCAGGTCCAGATGAGTCAGACAGACGTGTGGCCCTGATCTTGCCTGTTTTCAGAATCCTGGGTTAATAGTTGTTCGAGGGCATTGACAGACGGGGCCTTGGCGTGGGTGGGAGAGGCACAAGGATGATGGGTCCAGAGGGAACCTGCCCCTCTCAGAGGGACCCGTGACCAGGGCCAGCGCTGGCCAAGCCGGCTTTTCTACATTTCGATGTGAGCAGGGACAATTAGATGCTTTGCGTCAGGAGGAGCGCAGCCCCCACGGGCCTTCCCCAAAGTGGTGTTCAGGTCCCTGGGGGAAGTGGTTCGGGCTGCGCGGGTCAAGGAAGATGGGATTGTGAGAGGTTCTGGCAGCCTTAAAGCCTTCCACCCACGCCTCCCCCGGCTGCAAAGACGTCTGGGAGCTGAGAGCTGTTTGCTTTTCTGGCTGCCCTGGTGGACAGGCTGGAGGGTGTGGGCCTGGGGCTTATTGCAGAGCTCCAAAGCTGTTGTCATAGAAACATCTCCCCCAGCGGGGTTTTTTTTTTTTTTTTTTTTTTTTTTTTTTTTTTAATACTGGCCTCCAGAGAGTTTGGCTGCAGAATCATTGGGACGGTTCAGTTGTTTGTTGGTGCCAGGTTCCCGTGCAACCAGCAGCCCGGAGCAGGGAAACTGAGGCAAGGAGCAGTTATGTCACCCGCTCAGCCCCAGCTATCAGAGAGCGCACCTGGGCAAAGGTCCCTCGGGGGCCCTGCCCACGTGGGTGAGTGGGGCTGCTGCTGGCACGGTGGGAGGGTCCCTGTCCCGTTGTTCAGGGGTCTCGAGCTGCTTCCTCGGGAGCAACAAGACCCTTCTCACGATGGCATCCAGGCCCCCCAGGGGCGGAGGGTGGTCCTCTTTCTGCTCCCCCTGCCAGCCCCAGGATCGCCCAGAAGGCTTGTGACTGTGTTTGGGGGCGTGTGGCGTTTTCCCTGCAGCTCCAAGATGGAGGTTTGAATCTGAACTGTCACCCCACCCGCCTCCCCCAGCCCATTGTGACTGGCTGGAAGGACATTAATTGTCCCCCTCGTGGTCACTGGCTCCCAGTTTGAGCTCAGAAACAGCTTCCTGCTCTGTGGCACTTTCTGCTGTGCACTGTCTACGTGGACTCCCAGCTGCGGGGGGAGAGCCGTGCGGAAACCAGGCGTTGCCCTCACAGCCCCAGAGTGATCCAGAGTGATGAGTTAGGCCGGACTCTGGACCTCTCACTGCATGTCCCAGCTTAATCTGAGCCACACCCTCTCCTTGTCATAACAAAGACTCATCTCCAGGTGAGGACCCATTAAGCCTGCTCAGTCTGGCAGCTGCCTCCCTCCCTGGCTGCTTCTTGCCCCATCTGCCCCTTCCTTACCTCACTGGCCCCCGCCCCCCAAAGCAGCTGCTCAGGCTTTGAGTGTGCCCACTTCAGTGCCTTTGTACAAGCTGTCCCCATGCTTGGAATTCCGTCCCCACCCTTGGCTCTCAGTCCAGATGTGTCTTTCTCAGGGATATTCCCTGAAGGGACAGGACACGTCCCCCATCTAGTGCTCGTAATCCTGTGTTTTTCCTTCACTCCACTTGTGGGGTTTGGCTCTACAGTGGGCAGGGCTGTCAGCCTCACGCTCTCCATTGCTGCACGTGGTGCCTGGTGCAGAGGACTCGTGCCTGTGTGCTTGTGAAGCGGAGGAACGTCTTGCTGGCCTCGTGCAGGGTGCCCTGCTGGGTCAGCGGAGGGAGTGAGCAGCTCCAGTGGGCAGTGGGCACAGGACACGAGGAGGGAGCGACCAGGAGGGTTCGTGGGCAGGTAGCACGGCCTGTGGGTGCACATGGAAAGCCTCCAGGCTTTGGGAATAGTTGGAGGCTGGAGAAGGGGGCTCTTTCCTGCCAGGCCGTGGAGCTTGGACTTCATCCTAGGGCCAGGGGTGAGGAATCATAAGATAAGGCCCTGCTGGAGGCGGGGGGGGGGGGGTGGGGGTGGGGGCGGGGGGAGTTATCAGTGCAAGATGAACTCTGAGCAGGGAGGGCACCAGAATGTCTGGGACTTGGAGGTTTCTGACATGAAGTGAGTGCTCATGGAGGTTCCTTGGGGCCCCATCCTCACCCCGGTGCCCCAGTGACAGGACCACACCCCATTCACCTCTCAGGTGCCTGTCCGCTGCGCATAGGAAAGGAACTGGGATGTGAACTCTGTCTCCACTGTGAGTGCAGAGCACATACCTTACCCAGGGGTCCTTTACCAGTGTTCCTGAAAGGAGACTGTGTCGAATCGACCTTCAGCAGCTCGCCTCCCGCCCTCCACGCAGTTAATCGTGACACAACTCATAGACCGCGTGGTTCACTGATTTTAGTGCTTTGTCGTGTACTTACAGAGGCCTGTAACCACATTCAAGTTTAGGACAGTTTCTTTGCCCCCACCCTGTCCTGAGCACCCACCATTTTCGTCTCTGTGGGGTTCCCTGTTCAGGGCTTCATGTGAATGAGATCTGGTAATAGGCCATCTTCCGTCTGCCTTCTTCCCGCTAGCGTGGTGTTTTCCAGCTTCGTGTTGCGGTGTGAATTGGGGCTTCATTCCTTTTTATGGCTGCGTAGTATTCTACTGTAGGCATGGACTGCATGGAGGGTGTCCTCAGCACCAGCTGATGGACCTTTGGCTTGTTCCGGCCTTTGGCCATTGTAAATGGTGCTGCTCGACACCTGCCTGTGTGCTGTTGTGTCCACTCGTGTTTTCATTTCCCCTGGTTGTGCACCTGAAGTGGATTGTTTGGTCCATGGTTGGTGGAAGACCCTTAGGCTGTTCTCCCTGGTGGCTGCATCATTTCCCATGCCCACCTGCAGCGCATAAAGGCTCCCGTCTCTCCTCATGCTCGCTGAAGCTGACTGACTGATCTTAGCCATCCTGGCGGGTGCAGAAGGGCTCCTTGTGGTTTTGATTGGTTTCCCCGGCAGCTCACCATGTCAGGCCTCTTCCTGTGCCTAGTGTGCGCTTGCGCGTAGTCAAGGAAGGAGCCTACCTTTTAGTTCATGTGCAGTGTCTGTAGCCCGCAGACGTGCCTTTGGACTCCCGAGCCAGAGTGGTCAGGAGCGCCATGCTGGAGCCCGGGCCTGGCTTCAGAGCTGTCCGCCACTTCTTCCTGCTAGCCTCGGGCTTGCCTTCTGTCTTCCCTGCAGGTCAGGCCCCTCATCTACAACCCCAGGACAGCCTTAGAGCCTCGCTCTGTGC